TAATTAAACGAGCAGCATCCACGCAGCCCTTCGCGACGCGTGTTACGGAGCTATGCATAAAGCTCTCGTTCAACCATAAAATCATGAACTCGTCAACGGACACAATCGTTGGCATCCCAATCTAAATTACCTTCCACGACAATTGCAATTCTACTTACAATCGCAATTATGTTTCGTACTAACCAATTTTCGCGACCTGCTTTTCAGACGGTTCAATACGGTTCTGAAAAAGTCATCTGCGTTACTAATATCTTATACGAATGTCTTTACGTTAAAATTGAATGTAGAAAAAATTCAGGTTAAATACATAAATAAAATCAAAATTTTTTAACAATTTAAAGAATAATAAAAAATTAGAACAAATTGATTACGATAGAGCATCTGTTGGAAAGATAACGAATGCTATTCTTAGCGAAACAAATTTCAGTTTCATCTGTATCTATATCTAGCATAAGGAAGGATTAATTTCACTTGACATCGCGACGCGACCCTTCAAGCATAGTGTTATGGCACCCTATTGTTTACTACTGACATCATTAACCCTTGGCGCTTAATATTATGACAGTAACTCTCGCATGCCAGCTGTTAAACAGACTTGTGAACGCGTTGGGCAGCAGATGTCGTTAGATACTAAGCGAGAATACACAATAACTCGATCAATGACTGTTCTGTACAACGTCCTTTGCATTATTCTGAACACGAATTGCAAATTGACCATCAGAAACAAAAAATTAACAAAGTAATTTCAAATTAGGGATTTTTTATACAAAAACTATCACATTTTCTTTCAACGATATTAAGAATTAAACTACAATGAGTGACTACTAATTACTACGGTAATAGTTTCTACGATCTTTATAAACATGGAGAAATAATAAAATAACAAATTATTGATCTTTTCATCTAATATTAATTGAATTTCGCCTTAATAGGATTTATACTATAAAAAGAACTTTTATAATAAAAATTAAAACTCAGTCTGTTACGTTTAAATTTTTTACAGTCAAACGATCAATCAGATAAAAAAGAAATTGCAAATATAGCTCGACGGTCTGTATATTCAACGAGCGTGCCGTGCCTCCGAGCACAAAGATCTAAAAACAATTGGAAGAGCGCTCAAAGGCTTAATTACGGCTTTCGTGGAAGAGTTCGACGGACGATATCGAAAAGCAGGCATCAAGACGGCGGTCAATATCGGCGCGCTGAGAAAGTAACCCGAGAAACGAGCAACCGATCTTTTATTCATGTCACGTCGGCGAGAACCTCGCTCGAGTCTCTTCCTGTCTTTCTGCCCGTCTAAACTGCACCAGGATGTAGAGCGTCCGCGACGGACGTGTCATCTCGCGCGATAATACGTGCGTGTTACAACACGCGTGACACATGGACGGTCGGCACTTACCCTCGACACTCCGTCATGTACGCGATGGGAATGCCGTTATAAATACGGAAGTTGCCCGTAAATTATAAACAGCAGAGAAGAGAGAGACTACATCAAAGATTTAATGAGTGAAAAAACCACGCGATAGCCCGGCAATATTAGCATTTATAGCGAACAATAATTTTTTGCCGTCAAATATTAATCATTCTCGTAAAGAGATATAGAGATATATAGATATAATTAGATTAATTAGATATCATTCATTCAGTACACAATACTTCAAAACTTTGATGAATATTCTTCTTAAATAGAATTATTATATGAGGCAGAACGCCGGAAACTTGGGCAAACGGCGAGTACGTGAGGTCGATATATAATACGGACGAAAGAAGAGAAGATAACGAGCTATTCGTCGGCCATAGCGCTCGCATTCGGAGCTCGAGATGTATCGGGAATTAATTTTACAGCCTGTTCGTTTGTTTTCGTACGTGCTTCGTACCACGCATTTATTGTTTTTCTGTCGGCGCGCGTCACGCATATCTATGCACAAAGTGTTTGCAACGCATTGCTGATTTGCGTTACAAAGGCGGCCTTTTAATCACACAGACGAGTGTAAACGACATGTGAAGAAAAAAAATGTATGAATTTTACTCTGATGCATTAAAATAACAATTCGAGATTTTAGATGCAAATATAGTTTTAAACATGAAGTTTGACGTAAAATTAAATAAATGATAAGTGATTTTTAATGTCAGATTTATAAAAATAATTTCTAAATTTTATTATGCTGGTTCTTGAACATTTCGACACGTTCTTCTGAAAAGACAAATTAGCAAAGACAAATCGTTCTCAAAAATCACTTGATATTATCTTTTATGTGGTAGTTTTCAGAAGAAAGGATTATAAATATGCCACATTTATTCCTTACATCACAATTATCCTACATTTCACTCAGTCCAATAAATATTTAACCAAATTTTCAGCGAATTTTATTCAAGTTAAAGCATGAAAGGGTAATAAGAATGAAAAGCGCCAAGTACGTATTTCAAGAAACTATTAAAAATGCAATTATCGACAATTGGCGTCAAACGACAAAGAAAAGGGGGAAAAAAGATAGAAGAAAATTGGAAAAGAGACAAGACGATAAATTATAACGTCATTAGAGCCGTCGCGCACCGGAAGTGTTTTTAACGAGAGATCGTAATGAAAGGATCGGGAGGAGATTCCCCAAACTTTGTAATTTTGCTTTCACGCGCGGCTTTTTACACGCCGACGACAATGGGCGTACTGTTGCGTTGTCAACTCGTTATCCGCAAATTATTTATTCTACGCTCGTCAATATTGAATTTGCCCCTATTATTGAAACATCCCGCTCTGGTAATCCGCTTCAACGCGCCCGCCGCTCGTAATCGTCGAATCCGCTTAATTTCATCAGAATCGGCGGATCGAACCGACCGGAAACCGCGCATCTCCTAAAAGCGACGTCGCTAATTCCTCGCAATTTGTAAATGCACACATTCCAAATTCTCTAGTGGCGGAATTATAATGTCTTTTTATAAAAATATGTGATTATATGAAATAAATAATATAAACAAAATTACATGGAAAATAAAAATTAACATAAAAAAGCTATTAACATTGATTGATTGAGAATAAAAATAAAAAGTTATTAACAAAGTATTTATTAATACGCCAATTATATGTATATTTTATAAAAATATATATAATTGTTCTTTACGTTAGCAAATAAATAATAACGATATTTAATGTCTCTATGATAATGTTTTATAATATATGACAAAATGCTGTATCAAAAATACTAAAAACTTTCAGATCTCATTAAATTTGTTAATGTGTTCTATATAAACGCAAAGTGAATTTCTTAAATAATAAAAATAAACTATTAGCTTATTCACATCTATAAAATTCCTTTTTGAGAGATATATTCCTTCTGACTATTATTAAAATCGCTCTCATATTTATAGCTAAAATTTTAAGTTTGAAAAATATTTGTTTTCCTATTGCTCACCACATTTTTACGAACAAAATAAGAACACTTTCAGTATAACGTAAGCCGTAGCATCGATTAGTGCCTGTAACATGTCTTTAATTCTCTCGTCTAATAGCGAAACGTTCATAATAATCTAATGTGCGACGTTCGCCAAATACCCTTAAAGTTGCACGTTCACCAATTCCCCGTCCCGCAATATCAGCCAAAACTTCGGCCATTACTTCCTGGATTTGAGCCATGAAATACAAACATTAAACGTAAAGTCGCTCGTCACCATGCAACGTCATCTGCATGAGGATGAATATTGTGAACGTGCACTCTCTGTGTGATGTAAGATGCGAAAAAGTTAGCGAACACGGAGATTGTGCAAGAAGCAAGACGGGCATTAAAAAGTCGAAAATTCTTAGTATCCAATTTTCAGCTTTCCAAATTAAATTGCGTCCCTTATACTCTCTTGTACTCATTCGCACATTATTTAATTTTAATATCTACATAAAATATCAATACTTTTGCATTTAATAAATCATATGTGTAATGCTATGCTAAAAAAAGTCTTTTTTAGACACAGCAATTATGCGAAATATCTATAAAAAATATTCAATTCATAGAATTCAATTTTCAAACTAATTTACAGCTGGCTTCTTCCTAGCGATGATACAGCATGAGATAATACAGAAATGACTTTATTCAAGAGAGAGAAAGCACGATTTTATATAAAATATAATACAAGACCTGATAAAAATAGTGCCTAACAATTCGAGCGTTGAATGAAGTGTTTAAAATAAATATGCATTCGCGGGAAAAACTTCTCTCTGATGCGCAAGAATATCTTGAGATTTTGCGGAAGATCTATTTCTACCTTGGTGACATTTTCCATAAATAACCGCCGATGTCTATCTTTGAAGTCAGCCGAGCGAGACTCACGCAATATATTCCTAGCAAAGTATCACGCCGGATATTTCAGAAGATCTGTCAAGCAGATACTTCTGTTCCCATTGCTCGCGCAAGCGTCGCGAAGGTTGAAAATTTAATCGAGTGCCAGCAAAGTAATACATACGGATCTGGGTCATTTCGCCAAAGGCGGTCGCTTTGCCGGCGTGCAAATAAATAATGCAAAAAAAAACTTCGGGTGGTTTTAAAGTTCCATTTTCAAAGTAATTTGCAACTTACGTCTTTTTTCCGCCTACGAAAAAGCGAAATTATATAATCAACATACAGTTGGAACGTTGGAAATATCGTCTGTTTTACAAATATGATAATCGACTGACTTAGTAAAATTTAGAGCGTCTTGTAGATAGTACAAGTGTACGCATATAGTACATTAGAATAAATAACAATGCATACGTAAAAAGAAAAAAAAACCTTGCCAGAAAATGCGCACATAGCATATAATATATACGGAATAATATTTGTAATAAATATTTATTTTTTCTTGCCATGTTTTATGCATACATTTATCTGCATTTGCACCTGTTTTTAATTTGATGTATTATTTAGTATAATATTTTTTATGAACTTGACAGAATTCATCCCGAAGTATTACTAAGTAGTTCGCATATTTATTTGCGAATGAATACTAATAAATGATTCATAAAATAATTTATGTTTTAGGCGACTTGGATCAGGCGAAAAGACAGACAACTGCTTACAGTGGGTAGAAGCACTCACTCACCCGACACGCGTTTCGTTGTCATGAATAGTCCTGATTGGAGTCTCTTAATCAAGAACGTCAAGCACGAAGATGAGGGCCTTTATGAGTGTCAAGTAATGTTGATGCATAATATTTACGAAATGTACCATTGCTATCAAGTGTCGCAATATGCAAGAACCATGTATAAAAAAATGATATTCTATTTTGAAGCATATGTCCTCTGCGCTGATATCAATCATGAAAGAAATGAAATATATACAATATTAAATTTTATTCTATAAACTTATCTATTTATAAAATTAATCTGCAAAGTTGGATAATGTGCAATAAAATTTTAGTCGTTCTAAAAATAATTCAAAAGTGTCCTTTTTTCAAACTTGTGTAACAATTTAATTCAGCAAATAATTTATCAATCTTCTTTAATTACTTTGTAATTTCTTCGAAACTCACAACACGTGCGTGTTGGAAATTAATTTATTCATTTAAACTTTGCAATTATCTTCCATTTGAAGATTCTAAGTTTGAAAACTTTACAGACTCCTCGAAATATTTCAAATTGATATTGAATGTAAGAAATTGTATATATTTGCAATTGTATATATTTGCATTATACTATAATCTCTTTCATGTGTTGAAAGTTAAATTTGTGCAGAATGCATAACTAAAGAAGGGTAACGGATAATTTTTTTATAGAAATGTATATTTCAGAAAATAACGTGAGTTGTTCGAGTGTTATTGTCGACTCTTCCTTAACAAACACAATTTTTTGCTCTCTCTCTGTCGCGTTCCTAACGAAATTTTTCATCCATAAAAAATAACAAGCTGGCGGGACAATCGACCTGCACATGGGAAGGATTTGTATTCCGTCGATCTTTTCCACTGGCTGCATGCGCCAGACGATTGATGCTTATCCGGCCCAACTAGTAGTAACAACCGATCACAGTCAAACAGTAATAACATGTGCGATATATCCGACAAAATCTTTACAATCTCTTGAGTAACTTAATGACACATAATTTAACTATGAAATATCGTCAAATATTCATTCTTAGCTATAACTTATTATTTTTTATATCTTCTATCATATAACAGTAATCCCTAACATAATAATTTGTAGTTTACGTTTTTCTATTTCTTCTAAAAAATTTTTTAAATATACTATAAATAAAAGAATATTAAGGATTATAAGAAAATTCAAGAATTATACAAAAAAACAATAAAATTAAACAATTGAAACAGCTAGACAATTTTCATGTTGCTTTTAAAATTTTATATATAGTCATTACATAATTATATAAAATAAACGAATAAATAAAATAATTGAAATCTGAAATTTATTTAAATATATTGACTTAAAAGATAATTTATATTTTACATAAATTATAATTTATGTTCTAATAAAATAGATACAAACGGAACCAGTACAGCAGCGGTTCATACGACTGAACATCACAGAAGCATATTCGGTAATACCAGGTGGGCCGGATCTCCACGTAAAGCAGGGCTCAAGCCTCCGTTTGGAATGCCAGCTGATGGCAGCCGCAGAATCACCTAGCTATGTATTCTGGTATCGCGACGAACGTATGATAAACTACGACAACGAACCCGGCGTGAAATTCGAGCTGAAGAGAAATGGTTCGGTGCTTGTCGTGGAGAAGGTAAAACTTTCGCACGGCGCCAATTATACATGCGTACCAAACAACGCCAGGCCGGCACACATAATGATACAAGTCATCGAAGGTGAGCAATTACTGAACACGCATTTTGCGTACGACTCGCGAATCAATTCTCTTTTTCATTTGTTTTTAATAACTTTTTGAGTAATTTTGATTCCAAAAATTAATTCGATATACACTCGATATTGTATATGGCTATTCATTTAATGCTTCTTGCAATTTTTATTGTTATAATTTAGTCATTAATAATGTACAAAAAATAAATATATTATCTTTTTAAATATGATTACGTCACAATCACATTTAAGTGTACAAAGAATGTACTGAAAAATTTCTGCAATATTGTTATTAAAAAATAAATATTTATTATAAAAATTTTAACAATAATTTCTATTTTTCTATAATTATCATGTTATTCAACATATTATTTCCAATCTGGCAACTTTCTAAGTTTTCAATACAAAATATTTTTTATTGAGAAATTACTTAGTTATGCATCGCAGTTTTTAAGCTTTTCATTAGAAAAGCATTTTATTACATTTTCCATACAGCTCAGACCTAATGCCATCAAATTACTATGCATTCCATTAAAAGATTTGAGAAACGTTTTGCGAAAGATGTGGTAAGACGCTTTTTTAATAATGACGAGTTTAAAGCTGCAGTGCATAACTGGATGATTTCTAAATCAAAAGACATTTTCCTCTTTCAAGAAATTATAAAGCTGCCAGACCGCTGAAAGGAGTGCTATTACAAATAATAATATAGTGAAAAACATGGCTATTACATAGAATAAATTATTTTTTAGTTTTTTATAATACTTATTTTTTTTTAATAACAACTTTGCGAAATCTCTTTCATTCATCTTTATAAGAGAAAGTTCAGTTTCGTAGAAATTGCACAAATTGAACTCATCCTTACATAGTTCATCGCGACACACATCGAAAATGCTCTATCATCTTCACACCCCGCCGATTTCATTGCATCCTCTCGACCCACATCGACCCAACCTTTCAAAAAATCTTTCTCGTCGATCATCGGAACTACCGAGCACCAGTCGCCTTTCTTCTCGAGCCATTAAGGCGACGTTTATTTATGCTTCACGTATATGCGTGAAATCTGGATACCGGATAAAAACAGACGTTGTGTCAGAATGTAGGGCAAACTTTATGGGCCGTAAAATCCGCGAACCGTTCTCAATTTCGGAAGATAGCTGTATGTATAAGGCCAATCGTCCATTTTTTTCGTCAGCAGGGAGGGTTAACCAGCTTACTTTGGCTGTTCAATCCCAGTCGGGATTGAAACGGGCGATCATTTCAAATTTTCCATATATTGGAAAAAAATGTACGTTTACGTAAAATCATAGTATTATAATATTATGTATGAAATCGGCAATAATTAATAATCGGCAATAAGAAATTCCTTGTCCCGAATCTCTTATAAATTTATAAAAAGAAGTTTTTCCCTCCAAATAGCTCCGATTTAATATATACATATTTGCTACGATAAACTTTGCATTTTTGGTTTATTTTTACTAAACATTTTGTAGCTTAAAAATAAGGAATTTATGAATTTATTTGTGTATGGCATTCCTTTATCGTAGAACTCGTTGCTAAAATTTGATCAAATATTTCAAAAATGCAATGTATATCAAATCGCTTTTCTCTCGTTTGCGTTCCATTTCATCAAAGAATCTCATCTATTTTTTTTCGCAGAGGAAGAAAAACCGGCAGCCATGCACGGAGGCGATCGGCGAAATTCCACGGTAGCTACATCGAACAACTCTATACTGACACTCATGGCTCTTCTGATTATTCCAGATGTAAGACGGTGCTTCCAGAATCTCATCTACCACACAACGTGACTATCGCAAACTGCTGTTTTCGCGAAATCGAATCTACTGCCGAATGCGAACAGGAGAAATTCAGACACCAAATTTCGGTTCGAAAAAACACCCTGTTGTATCTATGTATTGAGTATCTATGTATAATTCTTAACTCGCGAGCCGGAACTATTTGACTCCGGCGATGAAATCCAAACGTCTTGAAGGAAGATGTGACAGATTCCGCGTGGGATCAAAGAAAAATCTATTTGCGAGTAAACTTAAAGCGAAAGATTCAACTGCAGACAGTTTTGCGCGAGTCCGTATCCCCGGTGGTGAAATCCGAGAAGAGGACCGCGAAGTTTCACGTAACCATGTAACTTTCGTTTAAAGAAACGTCTTATCCAAGTGACGCTACTTGATAGAAACTCCGCTTGAACTTGTAACGAGTGAATAATATCCGTGGAATGAGATTTGGACGTCTTTCGACGGGGACGAATTTGTTCACGAACTTCAAGAGCCGAGTTGCAGCCTTGTGTCGTCGGTCATCATAAACTCTCGCAAATTGAAACAGAAGTTTTTTTTTTCACGAAAACTTGTCGTTTCTACTTACATCAAAGTGTCTTTAGAAACTAAATTCATTAATCCCTTAAGGCAAAAATTCCATTTATTTCTTAACAAAAAATTATCGATCTTTGTCGTGTTTAAAACTTCAGGATATTTTCGAGATAATTGCAATATAGAAAACAATACATAAGAGAAGCTATTTTTATTAATGTTAATAGTAAAAATAACGAGATAGTTTCTCGCAGTCTAGCAATTATGTTCTACGACAATTCCTGAATTCTCTAATAAAATTTAAAATTTTGAATTTTTACACTCTTCGAAGAGCATTTGCAATCTCGTAGTGTATCACATCTTCGCGAATAAATTTAGCGATAAAATCTCATCGTGAAGCAAACAACTCTTCATCACGAAAATCAGGTATTATTTGCTCCTTATAAGTCTGCCAAGTTTCTAGCAAGTAGTTTGATGCAAGTTTGGAGGGAAGATATAGAGTTCTGTAAACAAAAGTTGTGCATAGTTCCGTTGGTTCTACATGGCTGTTACTAATGTTGATGATAATAGGCTCTCACAATCTCGCATTTTGTATTGTTATAAATATTACTAAATATATAATAATAAAAATTGTCAAATTTTAAATGTTTAGATTTAGAAATTACGATAAAATTCTGAAAGAATTTATCGATGCTCACAAAAAGAATTACACTCAAAGAATTGCAATCAAAATTGCGTCCATAAATAAACTGCCAACTAATAACACTAATAACAAGTCAACCAGAGATAGAGGAAATCTTATCATCAGCACGATTCATTTGCTAAAACGGCCAAAGCTAATTCTGTATTATGATACTTATATATGTATGCTACATATATTAAAAAATACTATCAACCTAAGTACCCCCCTATATGATGTACTATATTATAATTATATACAAATTATAAAATTGTTATAATTAAAACTGAATAATTATAATAATTGTTTTTCGATAAGTCTTTAAGGAATATAATAATTCCAACTTATAACACAATATTCGAGTTATAAATTGATAAAAATTAATAAAAAGCGAATAGTTATTTCTATTTTTACTAATATTCGTAGACCTAATCTGGCAATAAAATTGCGTGCACGCTAGCTCAAATTGATATAATGTTTGAAAAGAATTGATAATATTAAAATATTTGGATATTTATGGCATGTGATTGTAATTGTGTATATGTGTGCTCTCAGAATTATGTACATATTTAAATAAAGATAAATAATTGTAATCACCAGCTACGGTATTGCAATTTGCTTTGCATCAGTTTCAATCAAAGTATCAAATTCGCAGTTAGTTACATTGTCAAATAAAACTCAACCCACATATTTTATTTTAGAAAATATTAAATTTATCATGTCGCGATACAAAGCGTAAACGCGAGATAAAACGTACTTTTTACCGTGATTACAAAATAATTATAAAAGTGATTATAAAATGAGCAATAACTAGAAAGTGTTCATGTAATTATAAAAATTACAGGGGAAAATGATATAATGTACTTTTTAAGCATAATACAAAAAGAATTCTTTTCGCGAAGTATGTCTTTAAAAGATCTTTGAATTTTACGATATTCAAAAGAACAGAACTGTTCGGTTCTGATAAGCATTATATTATAAATATTATAACAATTGCTGCATAAGCAATTACATCAACAACTATGGCTTTTTGTCGCACTAACAAACTGTGCATCCAAAACCCAATTGCCTCTTTTGCAAAAATATTGAACAAATAAACTTATATAAGATTAAGCAAAAAATATATTTATATGCATTAGAATCATACTGAACATTATATCTTCAAAATTTTTGTTTCTAAATTAAATTTCTCATAATTTGCATCTCCACAAAATTTTTTCTATATTATTTATAATTTTACATCAAAAATTTAGAAATTTTACAATTTAATAAAACAATATTATACGTAACTCAATACAAAACTTGAAATCTTTCATTATTAAAATAAGGAAAAATTATACTTTTGAAGTTTATTATATCTTGATAAAAATGCAAATTGCAAATGAGGCCATAATTATCAAAACTGTCAAAGCACAGTGTTGCACAGTTAGCAATTATATAGCAAATATTGGTGAATAAAAAAATAGCAAATAAAAATCCATGTTTTGCTTAATCATGCAAGCATAATAAATGAATTCACTTACAGGTCATTGTATCCTAGCTAAATACGCATTCAGCTGTACCTGGAGAAATTAATTATATTATATTTCTTTGTCATCAGATCATATTTCATGTATGTCGATTATTTAATAATGATTTAATTATCTAAATATTATTTAATTATTAATATTTTAAATAAAATATAATTATACGCAATAAGTTACATAAATAATTATTTAAAAATTTTAATAAATATTTCATAAGTTTTTTAAAACGTAATGAATATGTAATAAATACAAATTGTAATTATATATGTGTGTGTTATCACAATTATGTACATATTCAAAGAATGAATAAATTAATGTATTCACCTGCTAGGATATTGTAGTTTGCTACCGTAGATTGACCCGTTGCAGATCCTATATTCTTAGGTTGCTCGACATCGACTCCACTCCATCGAAGAATCGTTGAATATGAAAGCACACACTACCGAATTCAATCGAACTTTTCAAGAGACTACGAAAATTATGTCGCGAATTTTCCATGCCACAATACACGAAACACACGAGGTAAAATTTACTTTGTACCGCGATGCGCCAATTATCTTCATTTTACATATTCGATACTTTATTCATTTATCACGCACGCCAAACGAATAACACAAACGACTAACCTCAATGCGGAAGTTTTCTCGTATGGAAGAAACATTTTCGCGTATCAATATTTATACTTATTGAATTGGCGCTCTGAATATGTACTCTGAGTACAGCGCAAACCACGATCGACGAAAAACATTAATCGCGCATAAATAGTATATTCTAACAATCGTCCGTCACTTTAACCGGCATAAATTTACACTCGTTATATACTTTTAATACTGTTTGATATGGATAAAATTTGCGATTAATCATAGAGTGTTTGCTCTACATTCTGAACCGACGCACGTAAAAGCGCACTGTCATGCACATGCAACATCGATATATTTCGATTAAACAGTCGCGCCGCGTGTGAAGTTGGCACGAAACTAACCACAATCTAAATTTTGATAAAGAAGGTAGAATAAAACATTATCATAGCGCGATTATATACATCGTAGCTTTTTGATCTGTCTAATTTTTATCGCGATATTCTAGCCATTTGTAATGCAATATACTATATAACACAATATTTTTAAAGCTATATCTCAATATCAAGACACGTATCTTACGTATGAAACAGAAGCATTCGGCATTGTTCGAATAGTATTGCAAGGTAATGAATTTTCGTATTCTAATATCGCGTATATATCGCGACAAATTCTAATATCACGTACAATGTAATATAAAAGCAAATATGCGTAAAAGAAACGTAATAATGCTTTACAAATTCAATAATTGTCCATTATCAAGATTAAATGTAATTCTGGTTCATTCTCACGAGAAACCTAATCCTTTCAGTGATAAATTCTGATAATGCAATATTAAATTTTTATTTCGCAAATTGAGACGAATACTATTATATTTTATAGGCCCTCAACATTACTCGAATCGACACTATGTTCAAGAACGCTTTCAAATTACGATTATTACACAAATTATAATTAAAATCAGAATGTTATACCTTTCGATATGCTCTACGTGCATCTGGAGAATAATTGTGCTTCTTTTACCTAATTTCGATCAGACTGGTATTTCGATAGCCAACTTCACATTATTTTCGCATACCTTTACTGACCTCTATTGCAAAAAAGTACATTGAATATCGTATCGCTATAAATGAATATTATACTGTCCCAGACAGCAGGATCTCCAGAAAAAGTTCAAAAAGTATTCTCTCTTTTGAATTCTTTATGATCTGCTAAAATGATTACAAAAAATTGTCTAAAAGTGCTCTTTTCTGAGTTGTTTAACAGTAAATCAAAAAGAGCTCACTATGAACTTATATTTCTAACACAAAATAGTTCTTCATAATCAGCTCATTTTGACATCATATAATATGATGCGTGAAAACAAAAAACACGCATCACCCAACCTGACTCGGCTGGATTCTTGTTGGTCATCCATATATTGTTCGTCGATTATTCTCTCTGTTATTTATATTTACCCACAAAATACTTTCCAAGTCTCGCAGTTCGCAGTGCATAAAAAACACGCAGTGTGTGAAATTGTTTCTGGTACAACGATCACTGACGCAATTTTTCACATGTAATTTTTTGAGGTATATTTGTTTCCAGTAAACGAGAAATTATTGAAAGTTCAGAAATAGGATTGAAAATTATTAAGAAGAATTAAATAAAATTCAGCATTATCGTAAATAAATTCTTCTCATTAATTTTTAATTCTATTTCTGAACTTTCAATAATTTCTCGTTTACTAGGTTATATGCATAAAAAGCCCTTTATGATGAAATCAAAATGAGCTCAGAAGTCGTCGCATCCGAGTACATTATGAGCACGTTCTAACCACCTTCTGATCTAAATTTATCAACTCAGAAAAATTTTTGGAACTTTTTAGGAGTATTATATGAGGTCATCATGCTGTCTGGAGTGTTATATAAATTTATATATTCATGAATCATGCACGATAATTAAAATATTAGAACTTGATGTTGCATTACTTATAATAACTATCGTAGGTTAGGTTAGGTTAGGATAGGTTAATTAATTTGCATATTCTAGATATCTGAACAAACATCATAAAACATTAAAGACCGTTAAAAGAAACACAACAATTCCTTACGCATCCAATGAATGATCCATTATATCTCGAAAATTCACATTTATCATGCACTTTTAATACGGATTGATACGGACACAATATATGATTAATCAAGATGTACTCTGCGTCGAGTTCATGTGCAGTAATTATGACGGTCAGAGAAGAGCATGCATATTTATCTATGATCGATATCGACGCTATATGCATTACCATACCGACCGTGTAATGTTGAATCTATCAATAATTGATATCGACGCTACGCGCGTCTAAAATTACTTATGTGAACCCCTTCGGCCGCCATAACAGCGTCTACTTACGGTAACGGTCTTGTAACGGTTTTGATTGTGAGTGCCGTGTTTATCCGTATTAATCCGTCTTAAAAATGTATAACAAGTATAATTTTATCGGGAGTGTCGATTACAGTGACGGGCGATTGTTAGAATGTATTATTTTTACCGCGAGTGCTCGTGATAACAGTGTCTGGTCGTCGATCGTAGCTGGCTCTACACAAACATATCCAATATAAATCCGGTGAGTATAAACAACGTACTACAAATACGCGAAAATGATTCCTATGTTTGCCCGAGAGAATTAAATCGGGCATCTAGAATTAAATCGGGCAAAACATGATTGTTGTTTTGTGGGTATCCATACGTGACGATCTCGTAAGTCGGTAAAATCAGTCGACTCTTTCACTCATCTCGTTCACTCATCTCGTTCACTTATCTCCTTCACTCATCTCGCTTAATCAAAGTGTGTGTGCAATATGGAAATAGACTATCAAAGATATAATCGCGGCGCAAAGTGTGTTTTACTTCATGTTTGCGTTTCACATACACCGTTGCATAGCAAATTCATTCCATCTGCGATTTTCTCATTTTTTTTGCAAAAATGCACACAATTAAATAATTGGGTTTCAAATATTCATCGATTTTTCCATGGAGATGATGTAGACTAGTATAGAAATATGCAACGGAGAGAGCAAACTACAATATCTTGTCTGATGAGCAGAATTATATCTTCATTATTTTAATGTGTATCATGTAACTGTGCTAATGCTCACATACACAATTATGTATTTGTCAAATATTCCAAGATATTTATAAAAAATTTGTTAAAATATTTAAATATAAGTCATGCATTACATATATGATGTTTTAAGCCATGTTTTTAATTACTTTTATTTTTAATAATACTTAACAATAAGCATACATGAACTATATGATATCATTATAATAAAAATATATATTAACTTTTCCAGGTATAGCGAAACGTGTATTTAGATAGGGTACAACGATTGGTAAGTGAATTCATTGATTACACTTGCGTGATTACGCAAAACATAAATATTATCCACTATTTTTATTCGCCAATATTTATTACATAATTGCTGAGAACTGCGCTTTGACAATCACATTTTTATTCGCAATTTGCTTTTTTTACAATTAAATGATAAAATATAAATGTTATATGTATAAATATACATAGAAAAAGAAATATTTGATGCAGACAAATTATAAAAAATTGAATTTAGAAAGTAAAATTCTAAAAAGTTGTAAGAAATTATACACTAATTCTTCTTTTTTTAATTTTGAGGAATATGATTTTATATAAATAATTATATATAAATATATTTTATACTTAGAGAGAGAAAGAATCTTATTAATAAATATTATATAATCTTTCAATGCGCTTTTGCATTGTCACACGAATTGTCAAAGTACGGTTTCGGATGCAATGTTCTTTGGCGATAATAAAACTGTTGTTATTAATATAATTGCTTATATAGCAATTAATATAATCAACTTGTTTTTACGAAACTCATTTCACTGAACTCTCTTTTTTGAACATTATAAAATATGAAGACTTTTTAAATACAAATTTGGATCAAATTTAAATAATATTTTGCATCAATAAAACTTTACTTTCTTTTTACGTCTTAAAACTAATTAAATATGCAAAAACAACAGCATAGTAATTTGTGAGAGAACAGTACTCGCTTAAACAATTCAATGCTCAAAGTAATCCAACTTAAAACGCTTCGAAAAGTTCACTGTAATTTATCGGTAAATTCCGTCAAACGTCTACAAGTGAAAGCAAGTTGAAAACTGATGATTGAAAGGAAAACTTCAATTGTTTCACTCGTTCATCAAATCGTAGGCGTTACTCGTGTAAATCCGAATGTTACAAGGAAATGTCTTAAGCAAAGAGAATGCATTGATTTAATTAAGAAACAATTATACTTTACACTTGTTTATAAGAAACAATTACAAATTTACTGAGAAATAATAACAAAAATTCTTAAAAATAATGATAATATAAAAATTATATTATTTTTATACTATTTTTTATTAATAAACTCTGCTTAAATATTAAAAATCATTCTGAACTAATATCAGAGAGGTCATTTCGACGTTTTTCACAAAACGCTTTTTGGTGTTCAATATCGCTATTACTTATAATCATTTGGAAGTTCAACCTATTTAGTTTTTTTTTCTTTTTCGACATTTCGACATATTCTGTATACCGTATTACGTCTACAAATTATGAATGGAGAAAATAATTTGTGTGCAAATTTATATAATTGTATAATATAAAATATATATAACAAAATGTATTTTTAACTCTAAAATAAATGCAGATACTCTATATTATCAGTAAATATGAATGAATAAGCTATGAAAGATTAGAGTAAAATTGGCACATTGTAAAAAGAAATATAATTAATAATCATTAATTGCAAATTCAGTTTGCTATTAAATAAATTAGTTAAAATATGCCATGTGAAAAATTTTTTTTATTCATCATTTATTTACACGTATGATACATCCATTCTAAGAAAATTCTCTGAATATTGCTTTCTTGCACTAGTTTATATAATATTTAATCCTGGAATATGAAAATGCTCACAGCTCTTACCTTATTAAGAAAAATAAAGGAAGAGAAAATAAAAGGATATACCTATCTAAATTAAAAATCGTTTCTTATTGTATTTTACATAGATATCTTTAGATTATATAATTGATTTTTATTTTATAAAATATATATATATTTATAAAATATATTTTTCCTGCAATTTTTATTATTTATAGAAAATATGAACAAAATAGAAATTGAAATAAAAATAAAAACTTTGTTTTTTTTTTAAATATCAAGAAAAAATTGTATTTTGTTTTTCTTTTTCTTTTTATTTTTTTTTAATTATTATTATTGCTCTTTTTCTCATATTTTCTTATATTCTTTATCCAAATATCAAAATCAAAAATTTAATTAATTATAAAATAAAAATTTAATGCTTTAAGTGGTTAAAAAATGTATTTTAGATTACAATTCATATCTTTATGGTATTCTCAACTGCAATCTCTGAAAATAGTACAGTTCTCATACGGCGTATATCGTGCGTATAGTGTTCTTGCAAAATAAACTAAAAAATAATCTCTTTGTATATCATATACACAGAAAACGACAAATAATCAAATAATTGTACAAATTCCAGAATTAAATATTGATACTAATTTGTGTTATAGCCCATCCATTTTAAGGCAATAAATCTATTACAAAACATATTTTATATATATGTTATTTTCATATCCTCTAATCTGAGTTTTTCAATTCTTTTAAATCGTGGATATATATCTGGCTATATATATTTCTGCAAATTTATTACCTTAATATTACAATAAAGTTAATTTATTCATGACTCACCAGCACATGATGCGCAACAGCGGAGTTGTGGTTTACATTGATCTATAACATAAAAAAAAAAGATATATAAATTATAACAGCGCACAAAATAATTAATGTTTCAAAAATAATTGCGTTGAAAATATTGATAAATTATGGTTGATAATGTTGAATTTTTAATTTGTTTAAATATTTAATCAAACAATTATCCAAAAAATCTTATCGTGTTAAATATGTTAAGTAATCATAAATAATAAATATATTCAAATATTTATGTTACAGAGATAAATGATTAATATATCTTGCAATAGCGAATAAGAAATAAGCAATAAATTAAGTAGGTACTCACTTTAAAGTTGTTCCGCCGATGCCTGATGCCCTCCAGGCTTCCTCCATCCCTAGACAGTTTATCGATAACTGCTCCTTCATGGCACAAAACACTCGAGAAAATATAATGAATTACAATCGCGCGATATTGTATGGCACTCCCGGCGCGTATTTTATCTCATTATGGTAAAAGAATAACTCGAGAAACGCGATTGCACGAAGCTACGATCCGTTCGACATTCACCGTTCTAGAGCAAGCAACAGCAACGAGGAGAAATCGAAAATTGTACTATCAATTTTACGCGTTATTCGCAACGGCTATGTTACATCTAATGTAAGCTACTTTTATAAGTATACGTTTTCCATATTAAAAATTTTTATTGCACGTTCTCTCCGTACGTGGAAAATAGTATAAAAAATAGTGAATCGACACCAATTGATAGGAAATAATCAAATATTTCACGATCTTAATCTGTGAGCAACGCGACAATACGATGTAGTTTCCGCTACTAGCCGTCTGCTCTGTTTGAACGTCGCCGTGCAAATGATCATCAGACAATACGGAAACAGCGCTTCAAAGGTCACAACAGCGCTTCGTCGTCGTAAGTCGTAGCCTACGACCTACGACTCGTAGGTCACAAAAAAACAAAAACATCTTCCGACTTGTGGCTTGGCCAAATTTCATACAAAACATAGCTATTTGTTTTGATCTACGACGCGGCGTACGTGTTTACTTGTCTTCACTATAATATTAGTATTATTTACACCAGTGCTCGGAATTAGTTAAACATTTCAGCCGATTTCCCCGGTATATGCCTTTTTTCCTCTCCTTACCGTGCGCGCCACAGCCGCTAGGGCCAGCGCCGCCGAGCGTTAGGAGCGGTACTATCTAATTATGAGTGGGTTCTTCTCCCTATTTATTAAAATTTTTTTTAATTTATTAAAATTGAATTAAAATAAATTTTTTATTTTTAAGTTTATTAAGTGAAAATATTTCAATAGCTTTCCACGTTACTCATGAGGTACTAATGCTAACGCGTTTTTTTTTTAAGTGGTTTCCCCAGTAGGCCTACTCCACTGAAGATAAAAATAACAAATTCTTAATTTAAAAAAAATATATAAAAGAGATTTTCTTAATTAGATTTTCTTGGTTTTTTATGAGAATTTGTTATTTTTATCTTCAGTTGAGTAGGCCTACTGGGGAAACCACTTAAAAAAAAAGGCGTCAGCTTTTTAGTACCTCATGAGTGACGTGGAAATCTATTGAAATATTTTCACTTAATAAAT